GGAAACTCTTTTTAAGGGTAATAGGCCACACTCAATTCTTTTTGCATAAATAAATTATTTCTGAGCCATAAGTATGTAAGATGGTAAACTAGACAAAAATACCAGAGTCCCTTTTCTGGGTTTTTAAGGCATGTCGTTTACCTATCCTGGATGGCTTTTCTGTCCCACAAAACCAAAGATCAGAGTTTAACTGGGAAATTCTAGATCTCTTGCATGTTTTGTGTTTTCTGTATGAAAAACAAACTTGTAGCAAATACTTAAAATATAGGAATCAGTGAAGTTTAGAAAGCACAAGTAAGCAAAAAGGTACAATAATAGGAGCACAGTTTCTTTTTTATATGTATGTGCCAAAGAAGTTTGAGATGAGTCAAAAGTTAGCAGCTCCCTTTACAACCTAAAGGTTTAAGATCAAAGTTAGCTATACATTTATTAATTTATTAGCAGGCAAACAATGAAAACCTTTCATACAGATCATGTCTAGTGATAATGATCTCAGGAATTTAAGAATAGAATCAGATATGTCTGTGTACAGACAGACACAGGTGCCAATTTCCCAGAGCTTAGGTGCTATCACATGGACTTATATACAACGAAGAACATCTCTGGTTCTATCAGCAAATTCATACTTAGGTATAAAATAGGTACTATTTAAAAAATACACTTAGAGACCACTGATATAGCTCAGCAGCACAGCACCTGCCTGGCAAGCATGAGATCATGATTTCAATTCCTGGTACCAAAAACAAATAAAAAGCACACTTGGGCCGGGCATGGTACTGCACACCTGTAATCGTAGCAGTTGGGAGGCTGAGGCAGGATGATTGTCAGTGTGGTTTTGGCCATCATGGGCTAAATAAATAACAAGATACTGTCTCAAACAATAAAATAATATTTTTTTCGTAAAATAAAAGCACACTTGGGATGCACCTCAGTGATAGAATGCTTGTGCTGACATGTTTAAGGTCTTAGGTTCAGTCCTGTCTCAGTTACACTTCTCTCATTGCTGGGACAAATACCTGACCCCCAAAATGAAGGCAGGAAAGGCTTATTTAGCTAACAGTCACTTGAGGTTTCAGCCCATACTCAGCTGGCTCCAAGGCACAACAGCACCTGGTGGAAAGCAGCCTTTCATGGTGATGGCAAAGAGCAGAGAACAAAGAGAATGGCAGCAGCTCAGGCAGCTAGCTAGCCTCTCTTCACTCCTTACATTGTAATGCAAATTACCTGCCCCAGGGCAGTGCAGCATCCACACCCTCAATAATCTATCACAAATTCCAGAAGCCATCCCATGACCCAAGAGGCTTTGCTGGGACAACTGGACACAAACCATAACAAGTCCCCAGCACTGAAAAACAAATACACTGCCTTTGTTACTTTTCTTATTGCTGAGACAAAATACCCAACACTTAAAGGAAGAAAGGTTTACTTAGCTCAGTTTATAGCACATTCACTGCTTAATTGGCTGGCCCCAAGGCATTTTAACTTCACAGAGCATAGCAATTCAGGACAGGCAGAAGATAAGATAGCAAAGGAACAAGAGATCAGAGATAAAAAGACTAGCTTCTTTCCTTTGCTTATATTGTATGCAGGCTGTCCATCCTCAGGCAGATTCAGCCTTAATCTCAGCATTGAACTATGAATCAGTCACAGACTAGATTCAGCCACCTCAGAAAAAACTATGACTTCATGAGGCTTTGAGGTGACACCTACACAGAAACTGTAATACATACAAACAACAAAACAGGGTGCACACACACACTATATGTCTTCTATGTAATGAACTCAGAGCCCCAGCTACCATTTACTTGAGATGTGCTAAGATTCCCAATATAGGCATCTCTTGATCTTATAACTGTTGTCAAGCAAGTAAGCTGCATTAGTCAACAAAGTTAGACATAGGACTCCTCAGACCTTTT